TATTTTTGCAACATACCAGAAAAATAAATAAGCAGTGTCTGTCTTTTTATAGCTGAAGAGCTGAGGAGCCTGGTATATTTGAGACATATGTTTTAATTAGAATGGCACAGGCACTACATGAGAGCAAGCCTGTCACAGCTTGGATGCTCCAGAAATAAAAACCACAAGTTTCAGAAAACTGTGATTGCCTAACTGGTGGACAGCATACCTTCTCCTAGAGAAGAGGCAAAAGCAGAAATTGGAACCTATAATTTGTTTTGTTTCCTTCCATCCCTTGCTGCCTGTTTTCCATGATTTTACATACCCGTTCTCTGCACCCAAATGTATTTGTGAGAAGGGAGAGGAGAAATCTCATCCCAAATATCATACCCATTTGTCAGAAACAGCTCAACGAGCAGGTAGCTCACAGGTTTGATCAAGCCTGAGCTTCCTAACGCAGCCTCCAAGGAATCAGTGTGAAGCCATTTAAGGGCCCATTGTCATAGTCACCTTTAAGATTATACACCTCCATGTTCAGTGTGCTGGGTTAGACTCAGATGACCAGAAATGCTTTCTAGGAAACACAGGAACAATAAACCTTTAGGTAGAAGCCACTGAAAATTACTCAAGTAATATGATTTTTATGGTACATTAAGTATTTCCACCAGAAATGGAACAAGAAAGAAGCATAATGGGATAGGGGAGTCTTACCTCCATGCTCCTAATGGCAGTAAAAGGGTCCTATTCTATCCTGAGGTTGCAGTACAGGATTCGTTCCCTTTGTGAAGATGCGTTTTTCAGGCTAACCTTGTGATTTACCTCTCTGGTTTGAACTCTCCAGCTGACTTCTTACCCAGTACTGAATATATCTAACTCTCCCAGGTAACACCAGGAAAATTTTTAAGGAAGAAACTTGATGCTCTTGCCCTGTTGAATAAAGGGCTGTATTAATAGAATACGGGCTCAGAGACAAATCTAAGAGGGATTGTCAGAAATAGGCTGTGCAGCTCACTATAGGACACTCCCAACAACATTGAAGCACTCAGCCATCACCCCAAGCATGAAGCTGAAGACTGGGGCACTGGAAAAGCAGACACCAATTTTTAGAGTACAGGCATGAGCAGGCTATAGATTAAAAACGGAGGCAGTGCTTTCTTCCTCTCAATGTGGACAGTTTTTGAGGACAATGGGAGAGGAGCCTGGACCTTAGGTACATTTATTCAGTTCTTACAATATGCTACCTGCTGAACAGGACTAGAAGAAAAATAATATGGGCCATACTCATATTGAAAAGATCATTGTTAGAATTTAATTATCTCCTGAATATTTTATTCATGTTATTAATACTATTAACCAGCCTTTTGGTCTGATTATATTAGGGCTGACCTGGTTGCTCTGTGACATGCACAGTACAGTGTTATCGCCACACTAAATAAAGTTCAACACAAATTTGGAATGTACAAAATGCATGACTTGATAACCTACAATATTATGAAATCTTTTCCTAAGCAGGAATTCTAAAATGTGTCTCTGGCAGTGTAATATTTATATCACCACATTTTGTTAAACATACACAATAACATGCAAGTACTCAATTCAAACAGAAGCATAATCCTTGAAGAAGATCCTACATTCTATGCTTTTTAATTCTCTTCCTTAAGGCTATTTCTTGGTAACACAGTACACCTCCGGTGACAATCCGTGGCTTAAGCCATTTGGCTCAGTGATTTTAAACCAGTGAAGATATGCAATAATCCTCTCTGTGCTCTGTTACACAGACCTCAGTTCTGTTAAGAAACTAAATTTATTACAAAGGACCTGGGTGGAACAGTCATTCTTGCCCGCAACACCACTAATCTCCAGCCAGAGCATGTTGCCTGTTTCACTGTAGTTACCCAGATGGATGAGCACTCACAAGCAAATTCTGTGGTGCAATCACAGTTTTTGCTTCTCTTTGAAGAATAGTCCCTCCTTAAGTTGAACCTTGAAGCCCCAAAAGCAAAGTTTACAATGTTAGGAACAGTTAAAAATGTTGCCCTTCCCTTACAGAAAATAGGGGTAAGCAGGGTAGAGTAGCCAGAGCACAGGGAAAAGCTATCTTTCCCAAATTAGAAAAAAGATCTATCTTTCCCAAATTAAGAAAACATTTGCAAGTAACCAGTATTATGGAGTAGTAGTTAATTCCCTACAAATCAAAATGAAATTGTGAGAAGACAGGGCTTCTTTTTCAGACTCAGAGTAGGATTTGCATGCCAAAAAATATATTTCTTTCCCGCTGCTGCCTGCAAGCTTTCCTTCAGTTTTATTCTCAGACTTCCATGGTTAGATTACTACTAGCATTGGCTTATGAACAGACTGAATCTCACAATCATCTGTGACCTAGTGCTATGACAGATCCAACTTCTAGAACTGGAAAAGGCTGAAGAAATTACGGGCTCTGTTTCCAGTTTAATAATATTTTTCCTGTACAATGCCTAGTGCAATTTTTCAAAAAGCATCAATAAAGTATTATTATAGCATTTGCTAAAAAAAATGCATCACGGTTTATGTGATGATTATTTTTCAAGCATAAGGCAAAGCTTGTGTATTATTATGGCATAATTCCTACATTCAACACATATGATCTCTTCTTTCCTAACCAGTTCATTTATGCAGAGGGTTAACGTTTTTTTTCCTGGAATTTGTATCTAAAACAATTGCATAGTAATCCCTTTACCTATGAATACCTTGATAAGAATTAAAGAAAGGTTTTAAAATGTTTATTCAGGATGATCAAGTCTGGCATGGAAACTCCTGTATTTGGTAGTAACTGCAAAGCATTTACAGTACTCACATAATGAATTATCTTGTCACCATGTGGAGCACTGGAGTTTTATAGAGAATGACTTTGCTGTGGTCGACAATATCTAAGTATACCAGATACAGAGTTAAAACAACAGTTGTCTGAGAGCTTCTTTATGTTCAGGGAAAACCTGCGTCAACAAGGCTATCTTCTCCTGAAAGTCTGTGGCCAATTCATTAAAAATAACTTCTCAATCAAAATTTTCAGGGACAAATTCCCCAAATTGCGAAAAGGTGGCTTCACTCAATAATTTCTTTAAATGTCTTATGAAATTCTGCTCCCCTCAGAGTTCCTGCATGAGAGAGAATTCCACAGCTACAAACCTCAGCACCTCAGAGTTGGGGATGTACACTTAAATGCTCACAATGGGAAGGATAAGTGAAATCTCTGCTTCCTGTTCCCCAGGTTATAGGAACAAAGCTCCAGCTGACTGCTGGGAAAATTTCAGAGATCAGTTATTCCTCCTGTAACATTAGCTAAGAGAACTGTCTTCTGGATGTGCTGAACACACTTTAGCCTGTAGGACTTCTCAGAGCATCACCTTCTCAAACAGCACTTTGATCCTTTCATAGCCCAAGCGAGTCAGTGACACAGTTTGTTGCAGCAAGACTGCTTCCAATTATGAGTCATCAAGAGACACTAAATAGGGTGAGTAATATCAGCCTTCTTGATATTGTCACACAACCTTTATTAGCTTTACGGCTACCATGAAGCACTGATCTTCAGAATGCAAAAGATGATAGTTGATGAGGTCAAGTCAGGGTTAAAAGCTAGTTATTACTGATAAAGGGCCTATATCAGCTTTTTCTTTCTCTGTCAACATTTTTCATCAATAATAGCACAAGGAAAGTACTTATTTCTGTACTAATGTACATGTTTTTGTTGTTTGGTTGGGGGTTTTTTCCTTGCATGAGCTGAGAACTAAAGTGAAGAAGCTTCTCTTGAGCAAGGGGCTGGGCCAAGTGATCTCTAGAAAACCCTTCCAACATCACATTTTTCTACAGCTCTGTGACAAGGATTCTTTCTGTCCTGCCCATCTCTCCAGCTAACTCATGAAGCTATGTAAAGTGACTGTATAGGGTATGGGCATTGGTCTGTACACCGCCTAGCTTAGAGACAAACACTAACCTCTTAGGTGCATTTCAAGATATTTTCATTCAACACCCTTCATTTTTTGGTGATTGGCGCAGAAGGAGCCAACTTGGGCAAGGAAGTGAAGCTGTTGCACAAAGCTAAGTGGGCAAGACACACATATTCCACAACAGCTGTATTTCCCTTCCTTATAAAGCCTAGAATGTAGCTCTGAATTTGCTGGACAGAGTAACTTTTTTAGACAAGAATTGAGGTTGCTGGAGGTAGGTCTATGAAAGTACCACTTCACTGCCCTGTCAAAAAAAAAGCAAATTAAATCCCCAAAATCATTTAATACAATCCTTTATTCACTATATATTTATAAAAGAGATTGATTTTATTTAAAAGAAAACAAACCACAAAACAGAAAAATCAGATGCTTTTGTATGAGAAAACACGGTTTTCTTATTTTCTACTGCCTTTCTGAAACCCTAATGCCACTGACACAGGAAAAGGTTACAAACCATTCTGTCAGTGAAAGAGGTGGATAAGGTTACAAAAGGGAGCTTGTCTATGCATGGCACAGCACTCTACTTCTGGTGGAGACTGTCGCATTACCACAGTGACTTCACACCTACCACACCTCAGTTTATGAAAGCTTGAGAGTTGCATAAGGCTTTGACCTGCCCAACCAATGTCTTTTTTCAGTGTACCTCTCTATGGGTATCCTTTTGCAGACCAGAAGGAGAGGCACAGAGATCTGGTGCAGCCCGTCAACAATACACACAAATCACTACAGACATAAAATAGAACAAAGACTTTCTAGTGCCCCAAGTGTATCTCATCACTTAAATGTGTTTCGTCTCCAAGTACTGAGCACTAGAAACTGTAACCACATTTACGCTTGAGAATTTTGGTTGTCTATCAACAAATGTTGCAACCTTCTATGCAGATGGGTGTCGGGTTTTTCAGATATATTTCAGAATGACAATTCAGCTTTTGCTTGCATAACTGTAGATCCCCAAAGGTATATTTTTATCTTTAGCTCTTGTCATGGGTAGGAAAGTTGCTATTATTGCTTCACATTATCTTTCTTTCCTTGAAACAGGATAACGTGGATCTTGGTGACCTGATGTTTTCACTCTGCTACCTTCCAACAGCTGGTAGACTAACTATTACAATAATAAAGGCAAGAAATTTAAAAGCAATGGATATCACAGGAGCATCAGGTAGGAATGAATTTAATGGTCAATGTGGATTTCTGTCCTGTTTCCCTCCTGAGACACAGAATCAGCACTGTCGAATCCCAGAATGATTTTTGAGAAGAGGATTCTACACTACAAGCTCTTGAGTTACTGGAGCACAGGAATTTCAGAGAAATAAATAATATATTTCAATTTGCTCCATTGCAACCAACAAGGCTTCAAGATTATTATTTCTGAAGTCATTGTGATTCAGAATAGCACAAGTTAGCCAAACTGTGTTCATAACACTGGGAAATTGTACAGCAGACTATTTGTTACAGCTATGGCACAGAGCAGACTGACCCTCACTAACAGTCTCTCAGAGCCACGGAGCCAATGCTGCTGTTGGTGGTGTGTGGACAAAATGGGATCATCCCAGATTCCTTTCAGCAACCCTTTCAAAACTTGATGATGAAACCAAGAAACTAGTTTAAATAAGAGTTCAAAGATGACTTTTACCTACTAGCAGGGAGTTGTAGAGCTCCCAGAAAGGAGCTACAAAGAAATACCTTTTTTTGCTACACTGAGGGGTTTAAACTTACTTACAATTCTCTTGAGAAATATAAGCCACTAATTGTTACTCTATTAATTATTTTTACCATACATCAGTAAATCCCACAGTGAAAAATATTGTCATCTTCTGTTTGTCCTACAAATCTGCACAAGTAATTAGGCTGTTATAAATAGGCTGATACACAGGCTGTTGTATAAAACAGTCATGTATAACACGGTTCAGTGGACATTTTAATACCCTTTGAGAAGTTGATACACAACAAAGAGCTTCTTGAACCTAAATTTTTCATTATAACCAGTCAATCAGGTAAAGCTTTCAAAGCTCTACTGCCTCCCAGGAATTCCACGGTAATAAAGAAGCTCAAATTCCAGTCAGGTCCAGGTGATTAATTCCGCAAGCAGGTATGGGCATACAAGAAGGATGCTCCCTTGACTTTCCCTTTATGTTTGCTTAAAAACAGCAAAAGAAAACCAACTTTGTTCTTATGATTCACACAGATCCCTACGTGAAGGTTTCTTTAATGTGTGAAGGAAGGCGACTAAAGAAAAGAAAAACCTCCACCAAGAGGAATACCCTTAATCCTGTTTACAATGAAGCCATAGTTTTTGACGTCCCTCCAGAAAACATTGATCAAATTAACTTGTCGATAGCTGTTATGGATTACGACCGGTGAGATACCTGTAGCTGTAAAATAACATCATCTATTGACTTACAAAATCTTGCATAGTAGTTCTGCATCCAGAAACAAAGCTATTTTTTTTTCCCCAATAAACGGGAAATTAATGTCGTGTTGAGTTTGGTAGAAGACTAAAATTTCTTGTAACACCAGGCAGAATTTCCTTCCTGTATTTTAAAATACAGATTTGCATCCATAACTGACATAACTAAGCTGCGTATCTATCTACCTGAAATAACTGAACATATCATACAGTCGACACACTGATGTTCTGTTTTTCCACATTTCTCCGTTTCTAAAATTACGGTTTATAGCTTATTTGTATTTGTAACTAATTACAGAACACAGGCAACTAACTTTTCATGTCTGCAGGCAAAATTAAGAAACATGCACACAGACACACAGTGTATGCTATAATGGGGAAAATACTAAATTGCTGTGATTAGTGAGAAATGCAAAGAGCAAACCTAGGTACTTTATAGTTCCTTATATTTTTCAGGCAATAATTAATTATAAAAATCCATGATTATGTTTTTAATGAAATAAGTAAATGATATGGTTCTAAAGGTAAAATTTTAAGAAAAAAATATTATGGAACATTTTCACAGTGTAGGTCACAATGAGGTCATTGGAGTATGTCAAGTAGGCAACGATGCAGAAAGTCTAGGCCGTGACCACTGGAACGAAATGCTGTCATATCCTCGGAAACCCATTGCTCACTGGCATCCCCTTGCAGAGGTAAGATTTTTGTTTCTTGCTTCCCTATTGCTATAATTGTGAATATTCTTCCATATGGCATTAGAAGTTGAATAAAATTTTATGAACAAAACCAAGATCCACATGCATGCACTAAAACATAGAAAAGAGCTCAGAAACACTGGTATTAAAAGTCAGATATAACATGCAAGTTAAGTCTGCTCCTTTCAATTTTAGGGAGACAGTAATAAATGTATTTAACATATATACATGGGAAAATGAGCATTATACACTGGATTAAGGGTTTAGTTTTGCTTTTTAAATTAAGATCTTGGGTAGCTTTCACTGCTAATTGATGTAAAGAAATGGACCTTGTTTACAGAACAGCCAAGACCTATTTTTTTTATATATAACAATCTAATATGACTTCTTCTCTCGTAACAATATATCATCCATGCCACTAGCACATCTCGAGGGATGCCTAACTGCACTGAAAAAAAAATGTTTAAGTGTCTCTGGAGATCTGAGGTGCTGATAAGAAGCGACACAATCAGAAAAGCTTTTTAAGGTTCCTATGTTTTTTTTGTTTTGTTTTGTTTTGTTTTTTGTCTTTAGGGCCCTATTCAGCAGAAATGTTATGCAGGTCTTCTGCGCTTGGATGGCTGCCGAAGAGGCTTCCTCACCCTTTTAACCTATTCAGCAGAAATTTGGCATTCCTGTTGAACTCTTTCTTAGCCATATCCTCAGGGGCTATTCCACAGAGTCCAGTGGGGTAAAGATGTCCTTTTAATCCCTCTGTCTAATCCTCTCCCCAATACAGGGAATACTAATCCTGACTCATGATACACAAAAATTTGTCAAAGATCTAGCTAAATTGCTTCCTAAGAGTTACCATCACTTGTTGCTATCACTGACTAAAGTCAGTCAGTAATCCCAGTCAAAAGAAACTACTATGTTATAGCTACAATGTTACCCCCAATGCAGAAAGACAGGAAAGACCATAGTATTCATATCAGGCCACAAACAATGCCATAAGCACCTAATATACAGACGCAGAGAGTTTGCAGCCTCTCTGAGTATACTTTATGCATCAGAGTGCGACCATGTTACTAGAATACAACTGAGGACTTCACCTACTTGTCTGTAAGCACTAACACTAGGTAGCTGCATAAATAATTGTTGGGCAATAGGAAGATGCTAAAAAGTAGCAAAAATAAAATCACAGTCTTGCCCTGTGTCCATAAGCAATTACATTTATTGGTGCCTGGGACGACAGCAGCACAGATTCACCAGTGAGAACTTTGAGTGCTCACAGGCTCTGTTGCAGTGGGTATGCACCATGCCTCTTCAGTACAAGGGTGCTGACAACAACTAAGTATGCCATGAAAGAAGATCGAGCAAAGTGGGGGAGATCTGCCTATATGATTGCGCCCTCAGTGACAAGCTAACTATGAGCTGAAGTGCCACATTTGAAAAGCCTGCCTGGGCATTTGGGAGCTGGGTTTAGAAAACTCAATCACCGAGTTCTCAGTTGTAGCCAAGCATTGATAGGAATGGCTTGACGTACACATGAGAAATAGTGTAATTGTTACCATTTCCCAGAATACAAGAAGTGTCTCTTAGCAGAAGTTATCTACATCCTTACATCCAACCTGTCTTCCCTCTTTGATAAATTTTATTGCAGCCAGAGCCCACAATTAGGTTTTGACAGCTCTTCCCTTTTTACAGGCATCCTGTTCTTTTCATACATGCCTGGCTAACTTCTTTAGATTGCATTACTGTGGACTGTTTTTCATGTCACTGAGCTAAACAGAGACATATTTTTTTTCCTTCCCAGGAATCAAGTGGGGGAGGGTGTCCAGCGCATCCAGGCTGTGCAGAGAAATATATACACAGCATATCATTTTGGTTCCTGAATCAGGATTAGACTCAGCGAGAGCTTCTGGAACTTCTGTGGCCACAGCCATAGGACCCTGAATATTTGCTGAATAGGACCCTCAGTCTTCTACTGTGTGAAGAGCTATTGGTTTCAAGTAGCATAATGTTATCCATTTATAGCATTAATTCTCCAGCTGACAATATTGCTACTGAATAGATTATTTGTGTGGTCGTAAGCATTACCCAAATTCAAGTCATAATTTCTCTTCATTAGAATAACCCAGGTTTTACAAGCAGCATGATAGCAATGAAAACCAACAAATATGGGAAGCAGAAATAAATATGGTTCTTGGATTTGCAAAAAAATGAGAGTGCAGTATTGTGAATGGATAGCTTTCTAAATATTTTTTCAAGAATTACTGATATTTATTTTTTTATGACAAGTTGTGCTCTCAGTCTCAGTTGGTGCCTCCTTTCACCTTATAGGAAAGCTATACATTAATATGATTCTTTGCAGAAATCCTTCAAATCTGAAAAACTGAAAAAAGTTCTGTTGGGTGAGAACAAGATACATATGGTATTTGTAATGGCAGTATGCTCTTTTAGAAAGGAGGTAACCATCTGTGTAGCAAGGAAGCTGTTAGTCCTTAACCTTTGTGGGTGATTTTCCAGTCAATGTTTCTTAATTGTGTCCATGACTCTGCAAAAAGTTGGAAACATATTGCAGGCGGCTATGCTCTGTTACACCAACAAGCACACACATGTGCGTGCATGTGCACACACACACTGTCATTTTAAAATGCTGTTCCAAATATATAGTGCCTGTGAAGACTTTCTCTATTATTTGTAGTACAATTAACAGAGCTATTTTACTTGATGGTATATTGTAAATGCCAACAAATTCTGAACATTAAAAAAATAATCCAAGCACTGAACTCTTTCACATGATGAAATCTGTGTCCTGGAACAAGAGCCCCTGGGATAAATTTTTTGCCACTTACTTAGCCATGTGTGGAGTTCTCTCTTCCTTCAAATTTTTGTAGAGAGAACTTGATTGAAGTTTTTACATGGGAAATTTTATTTTAAAAATGCAGACTCAAGGTGTGAGCATTTTATACAATCTCAGCATAGTTGCCCGCTACATACTTAGCAGGTAGGGAGCCCTGATCTCTACATGGTTTGGGTAAGTTGATGTGTACACCCATTGCTTCATGTCTTGCATGAGTTGAATGGTCACCAAGCATTTTGGATTTAAAATTTTCCCAACAAAAATATGCATGCACTGACTGAGTAAAATATTTGAAGTTTTGATCCAAATTCTGAAAAATTAGTTTTATAACCTATGAGGATCTTCAAGAAAATCAGAGTCTCTGTTCAGTGAGCATTTATAGTAGCATCCAGCAAACCACAAAGGCTTAGAGATGAGGAAGAAAATCTAATTTTTTATTAAATTCTCCTAATTCTTGCTGACTCGTGACTTGCAAATTGTCACTCAGGTTGTGGCATTACCACATGCTTTTTAAAAACATCTGCCTTTTCATTGCAGTTCCTATATGAAACAATAGCTATTTTCTATATTTGGGTACTTTACTCTTCACCTTTATAGTCCATTTAACCAAGGCTATTCCCTAGACCCAAAACATTTTCATAATATGGTTCTGGTGGGACAGTAGATTGCTACTGTTTTTGGACTGCAGCACATTGAAAGAACAGAGGATATGCTGCTACAAAATCACCTGGAAAGCCAGAGAAAACTATGATCCCAATACTCTTCATTCTTTCTTTCCTGATCTATGAATCTCAGAGGTAAATTAATAGAAGTCTCACAAGAATAATTCCTAAGTTGCAACCTTCATTTATTTTCTTATTTCCTGTAAATAGATAATTATGCTGTATGACAAGTATCATAATTCTAACACAGAAAAGAAAATCCCTTAGAAATGCATCTCAAAGATTTTAATCCCACTTCACTCGTTAACAACATGCTATTAAACTGTTACTTTTAGTTTTCCAGAAGAAACCACCATGTCAGATGAAATGAATTTTTTTTTAATGAAAAAACAGCGACACTGACGCCAATTATAATAGGCAATTGTGTGATACTCCGATGCCAAAATACAGCACAACCCTTCTGCAGTCGAGTGCTCAAATCATTCTTTATCTGTTTCTGCTGAAATCACAAGACATTAAAAGCATTTATATTCTCTTTTGTTTAATTTTTATCTGTAAATAATAATGGAAGTGGACAAACACACATGCATCTCAACATGGGGAAGCAGGGACGACCAGAACAGAAAGCAAATATGTAGCATAAAAACCCCAGTGCTCAAACTGTTCCTACCAATCAATGCAGACCAGCTTAATATGCCAGTGGATCCACAAAGCACCAAAGCAGTACATGGAAGAACCTTGTTATATAGAGGTCAGCTACCAGTAGAGGAACTGCTGGTTCAATCCAAAGTGAGACAACAGTAGAAGGCAATGCAAAAGAATGAAAACAGAGGTCCACCCCTCTTGTCTTGAAGGGATAGATACTGGGGAGGGGGATGTTGGTTGTTTTGGTTCTTTTCTTTTTGTTTGTTTTGGTTTCACTCACATGTTTTTAAACACCAAACATGATATGTAGCTATATTAACATGAGCCCTGAAAGTCAGAGGGACGAGAGAGATTTACATGTTTGTCACTCAGCAACATCGGAGCACCGAAGGAACCTATTTGCCATTAAAAAAAGAAAAAATAGCTGCAAACTCTCTTATTGCTTTAAATGTAATAAACAGTAAACAGGAAGGGAGAAAGAGGAGTAGAAATGCAGGTGAAAAATGTTTGACAAAGTTAGGAATATCTGAAATCACTTTACTGTTAAGGCATTTTGTTTGAACAGGAAAGTGAAAAAATCATGGACTAGGTGACTTGATCTGAAATGTAATCAAATTAAATGCTTTCTTCACTTTAGAACAGTGCATTGTCAAATGATTACATCTCAGCATCAAGTGAAAAAGCAATTACTTTCATGTCTAGAAAGGAAAAAGCATGTAGAGAAAGTAATCCAGAGTCCTGCAGAATTTAATAGAAGCCCTCTGCGCTGGGAAAAATGGCAGCAGGACAGACTTCGTAACAGCATCACCTTGCTGTAATTGGTGCAAAACCTTGCTTGCAACCCTAATTCTGTTCTGAAGTGGTAGCCTTACAGTATGGGAACTGAGCTGTGCAAGGTATGAATTATCTTCGAAGGGCACTGCACATGGCCGAGTAGTTTCAAAAGCTGCATTTAGAGTTAATTTGTAATACAGTGGGTTGCTCAAGGGACTACAGATGCAAGATATCCAGGGTCCTGCAGTTCTCTGAAAGGATCTTCATCTCCTCGAAGGTCTGTAAAGTGCACTAGTCCGGATGGCAGTGATGGGCACTGTTCAGGAAAGGTACCATCAGGACATACCTCAACTGATGACTGAACACAGCAGACATGTCAAAGAGGGGAAGCTGACATGAGGACTTGTAAGCATCTGGGGTGTTTGTTTGTTTTGTCTGGGTTTTTTAGTTCCTCCTTTTGCTCAATGTAGACATTGTAAAACTGGAATGTTTTACTGAGTTGCATGCTGGCCAGCTGTCATTTTTAATACCCATTGCAAAGGTGCGTGAAGAGAGGTGTGTTTTTTTGGTATACTTTTGTTTTTAATAACACATGTACATTGTAGTATACTTTATGATTTCTTGTCCAATAAATAGAACTGCTATCTCTATGTTTCATGTCTAATTTTGGAGAGTAGAGCCATACCTGTATCAGGGCTCTCTCAATTAGGTGAGCATTTTATTCATTTAGTAGAAATAATGCATGATTCCTTTTGCAGTGATGGTTTGAGGGACAAAAGATTTCTTAATTTTATAATATGTATTACAATCTTCTAAACACAAGTAAAAATGTACCGTGATTTATTTATATAAATCTAGTCTGAACAAATAAGTTTTGATCTAAATAAAAACTCTGTAAGAAATTGTGCAATTGTAATTTATTACTATTTTGTATTTAAACTATTAAAGTTCAAGTCATTAGTCAGAAAGCCAGAAAACACTTTGGAAATGTTTTAACTCATTTTTTCTCCATAAATGTTCTGTTTTGATAAAATAAATGAGACCAGAGAGACAAAGCTGTTAACATGACAGTTACTTCACAGCACATAAATATAATTGGGGGGGTTGGGTACTGAAATCTCCTCTTGTTTCATCCCAAAGCCATAATCATCATTACAGAATGATTTTTAAAGATACCAAACATGAATCTCATATATACTTAAGAAAATCAAGATGCTACAGAAGTGCTTCTACCAAGTGACAGTGTGTTAAATTACCAAAATTAGTATTTAGCATGGCAGGCTAGCAAAATTAGCAATCCTCCTGTCAACACCTGACATGTAGCTCAGGGAAATTCCCAGTGGTCCCCTGGCAGAGACCAGAATCAAGTGGAAAAGAGAGCACAGATGCATCTGGTCTAACCACACAAACCGCACCCAGAAATGTGATACTCTTGTCCTTTTTTCTTGTCTTTTTTTCACACCAACTGAAATTACATATCTGTCAGCAAGGGCTCTAAATGTGTGTGACGACTGATTAAGATTGTCCCTTTAGGGATATACACAGTCTCTCGTCATTTGGAACATATAGGCTAGCATATTAATAAAGGGCAGCTGACAAACAAAATGTGGCACAAAATAATTTCATGCAACTAAGAATTGAATATAGTTCTGTTCATTTCTTGGAAATATTTGATATTGCAGACACGTGGAAAAGAAACAAGAACAGGCCAGTAGTTCTAAAGTTGATGTTATTCTTAATAACGGTAGCACCTTCAGGTCCTACATAGATTCCTATTTTTCTCCATTACATACAGATACCTGTACATGGGGCTCCAGACAGCTGGCATGCTAGATAACAAGAGAGGTGGAAGATTAACGAAGAATACATGTATAAGCACTTCATCCCTGGCAAGGAATGTAGTGCTAGTTATCCCGCTCTGTCCCATAAACTACTATAAGAGTAGTTATAACACTACGACAGCAGAGATGTATGAACTTCAAAACTGTTTTTAATGTATTTCAAAAATAGTTTTGCATGTTTCTGTTTCTTTGTTAAAAAGCAAGTAATACCCTTTCTTCTGTCAAAAGAGGTCCATTTATGTCTCCTTTCAAGACATTTTTCTTGTATAATCATCCTATATGTCGTTATGCATAGCCTACAGACTTGAAACAAAACTCCAGTAAAACTGGGACAGCTGAACAACTGATTGAACAGCCTGACAATGAACTGAAAGTGAAAAGCCAAAGATTGAGAATCCTCACTGAAAAAGCCTTATCAATATCAAATAATGTATCTCACATAACATTAAACCTGAGAAGCCTAGTGATCCTGCACAGCCAATATCCAGTGAGATGAAAATTAAGGGAGACACCTTGTTAATGATAATCTTTACTAGCAACTGACTGTGACTTTCCACTGGGGAATGCCTGGTGAGGGTATGCAGCAGAGTCTAAAAAGTTCCTGAAGTGACAGGTGTGCGAGTGCACAGTGGTGTCCCTGAAGAGCTGAAGACAAAGTCAGAAGTCAGCAACTCAGAAAGCAGAGATGTGTAACAGGCTGAACCTCCACATCCAAAGACATGATCAGGTTAGCAAACTTTGTGACTCCAAAAGTAACCTTTCCAGGGAAGGAAATCACATAGTGTTTTGTACCACAAACTAATTGCACTCACGTCTGACAATATTGTCACTAAAATTTGTCATGGTGCATCCTGACAGAGTGTTCTCTATGTAAGCAACATGAAAATTTTTATAAGCCTTGTATAAATTCTAAGCAAAATAAAAAAACACCTTGCTTTCTTGAAACGGTAGATTGGTTGGGGTTGAATTCTTCCCCTGTATGGGTTGTGCAAATAGGAAGTTCCAACACTCATAACTAAGACCCAAAATTGCCCCTTAGTGACAAGAACAAAGTATTTCAAGTCACCATCTTTATCACCCTGATCAGTATTCTAATATTGCTGTTTAAACACCACCAAATAAATTACTGGCTATATCATTTCCAAATTAATTAACCACACCATCCAAAAGGTCATGGCCTGAAATCACTTAATAATTTGCAAATAACTGTTAGTGAATTTATATTCCAATACAAGCTCAAGTAGGAAAAGCTGTAAATTTCTATAATGTAAGATAAGCCACTACAGTCTGGTTCAAAGATACTAAAGAGAATAGCTTTAATATTAAAGAATCATTTTTAAGTGTGACAAATGTTAATAGGCCTTAGGAAAAAAAATGGTATATTTTTGGTAAGTTAATAAAATAAGTTTAGGCCATCATGAACGGTGATGAGACTTCCTTAAGTGGCACTATGCCTCAAAGGTAGCAGAAACCTACTGTACACCTGGGAGGATGATTATACCCCGTTCAGTACCACACAGTGCTAGCAACAGAAACTGGGAACAAACATTTTACTACTTCAGATGGTTTTCTTGCTATTGGTAGCAGGAACTAAGGTTGTCTGTCATATTTTCCCAAATTAATGCATTTTGTTCCTTTTTATCCAGTTGTTTGTAAATGTTTTAAGACTTCTTCCCTTTCTATACTACTTGAACTACTTGAAAAGTTAAAGAAGTGGATTGAAACAGGAGGAACTCTCAGTATGACACTGGAGCTGAATCTCCTCTGGGTAAGAAAGAGCAAGAAGTTGTTTCCTCCTACTCTTAGTTTAGATCCACATTAAATCAAAATTAATTGTTCCAAACACTGTCAAACAAGATCACTCAAAACAAAAGAATTCCTTCCTTTCATCAGGAACATCTTTAGGTGTGGCTCTGCTGAACCACTTTTTTGTTTCCTCCAATCTGAGATTTGGGGTGGCATTCTCTCCCTCTCCCTTTTCTGCTATCACCTTGCTAAGGCAGAATAGCACATTTCAGCTAAACCTTCAAAAGTTCTGGAGCTTTTGAAACAAGATCTAAGATGCTTTGCCTTTGAAATTCTATTGCAAGTAGAGCTAACATCTAAGTTGCATCTATGTGTCTGCCTAACAGATTTTCATTTTAATTGTCCACTGGTTTTACTGTGGGTTTTTTCCACTTCTGATAGCTGCCTTCTCTTCTTTTCCCTCATCAGCTTTCCCTAGGTGACTTTTACTAGACAGATTACTTTAGTCGTTTTCATTCTTCGTATACAAGAAACCTTTCCCCCAAGACATTGATTTCTCCTGCAGTTTTCCCAGTAAGACCAGGTCCAACAGACAAGGCCAGTAATGAGCTGTTTCAGCCTTTACTCACATGCTGTCTGCTATTACCTCTCAGAAATAATGTTTTCATTAGAAATATTGTATTCTGTCTTCACATAGTAGATCAAAAGTGTAGGGACATAAGGGCTACTACAGAATGTCATAACATGGTAGAATAAATAGCCAGATTGCAATTTAATTGGTTAATAATAGTAACAGCCACGCCTGAAGCACTTATGATGAATGCTGCAAAATTGAAGGTGATAGCAAATCATAAAATCAATAGCTACTCATGTCTGTCCCTAAAGACATCAAACATTTGTCGACAATGTGAAGTTTGAAAAAGTACATTTTTAAAATATTTCAAGCCATGACATAGCCTGAAATGTCAGAGCATTCTGACACTTGTCCAAAGTAATGCTCAGGAACACAGACAGCAAATGGACAGGCAAGAGAACTGTGTTTAGAAAAGGTGTTACCAAAGGATTCAGGTGAACTGACATCATGCTATCCAACTGCCAAAATAACAACAATTAATTAATAAATACCTTCTGGAAGTTTCATTTAAACCAAATGCACAGCGATTTTCTAATACTACTGGCCTTAAGAGAAAGAGGTTTGGATTTACTGCTCTATATTAATTTCCTTTACCCTTTGCCACATGCTGTACCTTCTTATGAACTGTTTCAAAAAGGGTAATTACATGAGAAAAAGCAAAAAAAAAACAACCCATGAAACCTCTAAATCATTATTTGTTTGGGATTCTTGAGTAAAAAGCACATTTTGAGGGATAAGACAAGTCAGATCTTCAATCTGTGAGGAATGCAAAACATCATGCATTTAGTACTAACAATTGCTAGCTACTTGCAGAAGTAAAAGAATTAGCTCATTTCCTCTTCTTCTGTCAAGATCCCATCATACATCCATTTAGGTATATCCTTCTGAATCAATTCTTGAAAACATGCATGGAAACAACGTGTACAATATGCATACTCATATGCCATACAAAAAGAACAGTCCATATGTATATCAGAGAAACACCCAGGAACATAGTCAGCCATGGAAAACAGAACCAGGGAAATCCCAAGTCAGGCAGGCAAAGTCTGTTTTGCTTTAGAAAAAAATGTAGCTCCTGTAGGATATGGGAAATATCAAACTAGCTTACAGCCACCACTGCCCTTCTCTCCTAAATAAGCTTCCTGTAGGAATATAAATATAGTTTCAGACATTTACTCACATCTCGTGTCTAACATACTATTACAGGAATAGCTTTCACAATGTGTTAACAAGCCTCAATTTTTATCGTGAGTTTACCCTGACTCTTCCAAGCCCCCAAATACCAACACACAGTGATTTTTATGCAACACAGTCTTGAACTGAAACCTGAGCTTTTGGACCCAAAAGATTCAACATAAAACTTTTAAAAAAATAGTCCCACCAAAACCACAGTCATGCTCCATGACAGTGAACCCAGATAGAGATTATTAGAATTATACAGTGCTTCTATAGCAATTCATGTATCTATGCATCATGCCACATTATCTTAAGTGACTTTAATTCATCTTTCTGCCTTAAGTGCTCCAACAGTGGTTTTGTTTGTTTTGAATTTCAGACTAAGTGCCATGGATGTGATGTAGACTGTGCCTAAAATAGCATCCAGGTTGTAATTACTGTCTAAGATCTAAATTACAAAAACCTGTCACACCATGAAAAGATGTAATTATCGGAAAGATCTTGCATG